CACTGAAACGATGAAATCGACCTCTGACTTGTGTTTTGCCGTAGAAACGGTGTTTTCTTTGTAACGGTGGAATTATCTTGTCTGTTTTGAAGTGATTACGAAGGCACAAAGAAATGGTCTATACTATTTTTATGCACTAGTCGTGAAGACCTACTGCCACTTAGTCAAGGTTATGATAACGAATCCAAATTCAACCTTCATTGCCCAGATTTTGCGAGCAAAGAAGATTAGGTTTTTATGGAAAGGTATTCACCGTCTCTGTGGACAGTACGGGAAACAACCGAATACTCTGGTGGATGTTAGCAGTTTCAACGCGGCTTTATTCAATCCGTCAAACGAGATTCAGATTCCCTCCTTCACATGTGACAATTTCAATGCGGTTTAGTTTTCTAATGACGTAAGCTTTGAGTATCTCCAGTTCTCCTTAGCATTTGCGGTTGCAAGACCTGATGGTCTCCCTATGGTGATTCTCAGATTTGGAACGGCTTCCTTAGCCAATACGATAACATCCCTCATTAGTGAGTCTGTGTCTTACCGGTCGATTTCTGATTCCTGGTATCATGTTACCCTTTTTCCTCATCATCATTCGTTCTTGCGAAAAGGTTTATTCCTATCGAGCTAACCTCACAGTTCTGAATTTGACAGAACGTCTACTGAATCACTTGCAGTCGCTCATCGCAACTTCGCACTACGCCCTCCAGTTTGTATCTAAACCCAAAGACTGACACTAGGTGTTGTGTTCACTGTTTTCAGTAAGTCATTGAACAATTTAGTCTAATCTATTTTTCGGATTTTTCTTGACTATTCGTCTGCGTTTGATTTTGTGCTTCCATCTGCCCTCCCAAATTTTAGTCCTTTGATGCTCCTAGACAGCTACTTTCTTGGTTTTCTGACTATCTCACAGAAAGGTATGGTTCGAGGTACTGTCCTTTCTCCATATCTGTTTTCTGCTTTCATCGACGGTCGTTTGGTCCCATTCCCTGCACACATTCAAAAATATACGGGAGATGTCAGTTTGTGTCAGATAGTTTCCTTTCTTTCAAAATTCGATTTATGCACTAAAAATCTAACCCAAGTTTCAACGTTTTCCAACCAATGTGATCTTAGTTTCAACCCATTCCATTGCCTGGGGTGCATGTTTAGTCTTTCTCTCTCTATGGATTTCCAATGGATTCAGTTACTCTTAACCGTAACCCTCAGTCTAAAGTGACCTATGTCAAATATCGGTGGTAAACATGCAAACAAAATGGAAACCAAGACGCCTCTCACTCCTGCTACGGAAACTCTGGCAATTCTGAATCTCGTTCAGTTTTATCCTAGTTTGTTTACCAGTGCGCTCCCTGAATCTTATTGTATTATTCTCCTGCAGTGTTTTATCACCTCTTAAAATAAAACTTGTAAAAAAATCGCTATGATTTGGTGATAACCAGTGGCATATTCTTGATTTGTGCTCCTTCATTATTCATAGAACTTATTAAAGTTCACATCAACTCCTCGTTAAAAAGATTCTATAACACCCTCTTCATTTAACACACCTTTGTCTATCTGTCCGCACGCTCTATTTTTTGGCATCTACCCTCTCCTAAGAAGATCATTAGGAACTCTTCTGTACCCCACCTGACCCAACTTCCAACCAACAAGGAACAGATTGGTAGTGAATCATGCCAGAATTTATTTGCGTAGACTAAACTTTACGACATGTTTCACATTGCATGCATTTCATTATTATTATTATTATTCATTATATTCAGTGTGACGTTCAGTGTTCACATTTTAATGAACTGCCTGCACCTAAGCTTACTAGAGCTGAACAAGTATAATGTAAAGCACACGAGATCTGTCGCTGTCCTAAACGTTCCATTTCGTCAACAAAGAGGAGATTTCTCTAGTCTGCGAATGTCTTTTAAATACAACGGCACTGTCCGACAACGGTAATGGAAAACTGATCACACTGGGATATAATAAAGACAACATTTTAGCCCCGATCAAAATTTGTCAGTGACAAAGGTATTTTAATTTCATACTCATCGCTCTAGTCTTGGTTACACATGATTGTATAGGATTGCACTGTTTATCTCTATTTGCCAAACAAAAGCCTAGTTAGGAGAAATAAGCAATCGTTTCCTCAAATGTTAAGCTTTCAAAAAGAAGTAGTCTAAATTTAATCTTGTGGTCTAGCTACCATTGAAAAATGACCTTCAGCAATCATTTGAACAGTGAGTGAATCCTTATGCAGGTCTTAAATTTAACTAGCAAAACCGAGTCGTTTCACCCTCTTCTGCACCCTTGGTGTTGAGCATACCGCAAATTTGTGGCGACTGAAAACCAGGACAGCATAAATAGAGCAGTGTGCATGTGACCCAATTAATCTAACAATGCCACTACTGGTGTTTTGCCAGTTTTTAAGTTCACGAATGAAAGATTAACAATTATCATTTTGAGATTGGTGTTGGACTTGTATTTATCACTCAAGTTTCTAGAGTACTTCAGTTTAATTTGCACATTCCAAAGGCCCAGCATCATTGAATTCACAGGCATCAGGACAACTTTTAACCTAGCGGAGGATAGCACATTGTGGTATTGCTTGGCGAGGAACGAAGTGCTCACGCAGCATGTTTCAACGTTCGGCCCATCAAAATAGTACATGTTAGGTCTGATAAAGACTAAGGTAGAATGTCATCATGGTGACAAAACTTTTGATATTTAGTTACTCGTGCGTTCGCAGTGTCGTGTAACATTTTTTAGAGGCTCGTACTCTTCCTTGGATGTTTAAAGTTTATGAGTGTCAGTTGTTGAAGAGCTGTTTGCGTTGTACTGAATGTTATCACGGAGTTTCAAGATAAGTATAATGTCTTACACTCCCACACTAATCATCCCAGAATGTATACACGTGCTTAGAGACTCATGCAGCACCACATCGAGCTACCGCAGTAGTTTATAGAAGAGAAATTTTATTACTAGCGACTAAATCCGCATCAATATGAGCGACAATAATAACAACAACAATAATTTGTAGATCAGAATAATTGCAGAGGAATCTTGTTTAAGATCTACAAAACTGGTGCTCAACTTCTATATTCATTATTAGATGTTATGTTAGCATCGTATTAAGACGGTGTAAAATATATTTTAATGATTGAGCTGTCTCTGAGTTGAATACATCCGATTTTTAATTTTTCATGCTGATATTTCTTCTCATTTCAGGGATATGAAAGCAGAGAATATAGTATTGGATCATCGCGGTAGACCAAAATTGATCGATTTTGGCATGGCTAAAAGATTCAGCAAACCAATGCGTAACCAAGATGATCATGATGTCACACTGGACGATAGCCTACATGATTCCGAGGATTTTGACCAGCCTCCAACAAGATACTATTTCGCTGCCTACTTGGCTCCAGAAATATACGATCAGTCTGAGGCCACCAATCAATTCATCGATTCCTGGGGTTTAGGATATATTTTGGTGGAAATGATTCTCGGTTATGGCATGTAGGTTAGCAAAATATAAGGCTAATGCTTTTGTATGACGGCAATAATTTGAGTTTACTTTGTACTTTATTCAGCCTATAATGCACTGATTTTGGTAGTGATCTCTCACAGTCGTTTACTCGAATGAGGAGTTTAGCTATCAATCTACAACACTTTATACTACTTAGTTTATACATCAGTAGACAGATTCAAATACGACAATACGTACACATCGTTACAACTTAATCACAGCACAGCTGTAGCTGATCACGCAGTCATCTGTCCTAGTTGTATTGGAGCGGACGAAACTATAGATGCACATGCCAGGTGGTAATTTATGCGCATATTCCAGGATATCTATACATGAAAGTAGTGAAGGATTTGGTTAGATCTTATGGTAAATTCAGTCGTGCACAGAGTAAATGAAGCATGAACTGAAAAGCTTGGAAGCATTGGACAGTTGTTTCGACCTGGTTTGGCCTCATTATCAATAAGAATCCATCGATCCGACTGAAAAATGAACTGGAAGCCTCACAGGTAAAACTCAAGCATACTACCTACTGGATCACTAGGAAGCTGATCAGACCGGCAATTGATTCTCCCTGTTGCTGAGATCTAACCAGGGAGAAACAGCTGTCAATTGATTCCCATCTTTTTAAATCATGCTTCATTTGCTCTGCAAACGGCAAAACTGGTTAGATAAATTTTGGCTGGTAGTTGTAGAACAAATAGGTTTTCATGTTTTCTTTGAGCAGCTAGTGTTGTGGAATTCCACGTATAAATTGATTTACTTTTTCGGCTACAGTGTGCTACTGTTGTACGATGTGATAATGATACGGATTTAATACTATCTTTTCTTGAAGGATATCTATAAGAAAGTATACCTTTAAACTATAGTGTTTTCCTGCAATAAAAGTAGAATGTTGTTACAAAAAATGTCTAAAGACGAGTAATGTGTGTTGGATTGATGGAATGACATCCAGTTTGCCTGTCGTATAGTGAATCCGAGTGAGGTTTAAATGAAATGTTTAAGATATTCTTAGATGAAATGACCCAAATTGAGACAAGGTGATAATTCCACGGATGCCACACAATTGTTCAAAGAACCGAGTAGTGCAATGAAGTCTAAGGATAATAAAATGAAACGGGAAGTTACTGATACCCGGCTTTAAATTGTTCTCAAATAGTTCAATAAGCCAAAATCTCAGTTCAGTCTCAGATCAATGATTAAATATCTGGTAAGAGTGGATTAGACTTTTGGACAAGCATATCCACGTCTAGGTAGTGTAGGTTTTGTTACAGTTCAGTAAGAATATTTTAATAACAGGGTCCCTCAAACTCGATGCCATAAAACAATAAAATCAAGCAAACGATTGACTGGTTTACGTTATTAAAAAATGTGTTCGGTTTACTTTTAAAACTGGATGGGAGGACTCGTGTTCTTTGTTATTTTAAGTCAAGAATCGTAAACAATATTGCCAACCTTTATTCATTACGTTCTCCAGTTTTCTACCCATGCCATGGGAAAAGGATCCGGGACAACATTTAAGTGAAAACTGGAAGCTGACTCTTCCTAGTGATGCAAGCTCAAAAATGTCCGTCGTCTGTGAGGATTTTCTATTCAAAATGTTACTTCGTCGACCTGAGGAACGATTGACTTTGGAACAGGCAAGTAAACATGGTCTGTTTGCTCGTGTACCCTGGTCAAATCTGATACACATCCGAGGGCCAGATTTGTCCAAATGTCCTCCGAAAGGATCCAATCAAACACAGTCCGGGGTGGCAAACAATGGACGTAGATGGATGACTAAATATGATGCGTTTGCCCAGGTACCAGATATGGCATTTGCACGTGAATTTTTGGGTCCCTTATCCACTTCAAATGTGATCTTTGCGAACCAACTGACCGGACAAGCTCAACGTCGAAACAAAACAGTGCGGGTACCGACAACGCGGAATACAGCTCAAACAGGCTACGATGCCCGAAGTGCGGTTCAAGATTTAGACAAGAGTCGTTCGACTGCGGTCTCATCTCGACCACGCAATGTGAATGTTGGCGGAGCAGTTGAAATTCGCACCATCACAGTCAACAATATGGAGACAAAAAAGGATGGGAGCAAAATCAGTCGAACAAATCGCAATGCAGGGTTTTCTGCCAATTAGCAGAGCTGAATTTCACAGAGAAATATGAATCGGCGATGAAGTTGGATGGGATTGAGCAGGTGAGATTGGCAGTTTTGGAACGTGAGGATGCTATGAAATTAGGCAATTCTTTATTGGGCAGATAGCATGCATTCTGTGTCCACAGGAATTATTAAACACGAAAAACATACACACAGATGAACACACGCATACACACACGAGAACATACGCAGTTGCGAACTGGGCCTGCGAATGTGCGAATGTGCACATGTGCATCGTCATTATGAAGGAAGAATCGATCCACGTCATCCCATCTAACCTACGTTATAAAATTATTCCTAATGCGAATTCATCAGTGGCACGATGCACCAGCCCGTGTTAATGAAACATCTATTTTAATTTCACTTTATGCTCATGCCTGTGCATGCTTGTGCATCGTCGGCACTTCTGTGCACAGTCTGGACTCTGGGCGACGAGGGACTGTTTGTGCCATCAAACCTCGAGTGTCGGTGATCACTTGCACGGGTTCGTTTGCATAACCCCAATGTGACATTTCTTGTAATTTCATTGCGCCAATCAGAATTTGTTGGCACCGTACATGTGTTCTGTCATTCTCTGTTGGTCTATATTTTGAGCAGAAGTCATGTTGAAAGAAAAGTGCTCCAACAACTGTTATTTTCATGGTTTATGGTTTGTTGAAGATTGTAGTAGCGTTCTAAGGAATTCGGTTTGAATACCAGACTCATTTTTCTCGGTATTCAGTAAACAACTACAATTTGTTTTCGGCAGTATAGATGGGGCTCAACAAAGACAATTGGTGTGTGCCCGCGTATGTGTTATTCTCGGGAAGGTGGTAAAATTAAAAAATGGAAAAACAAAATAATTTCCATTTGAAATTTGTCATATTCTTGAAGATTACCAATAGATTTGGATATGTTAACATGTAAGAAAAGTGCACGTCAAAAGAGTAACGGTTGAGATAATCGAATGTGAACAAGAATATTGAAATCAGAATTTTGACAACGCACCGATTCAGCCGATAAATGTAACGAAGAATAAAGAAATAGGGAAGTTAACCGGATTTGTCTATTCACGTGCTGTCATTTACGAGGAATTCGGACATAGTATTAACCCAGTAATGGAACTTAAATGAGACAGCATTTCACTCAAACCACTAAACAACAGTTTCCGGGGGTTTCCAAGGGACCTTTCCCAAATGCGGCACCAAAGGTAAGTTTTCAGCTAAGCAGGGAATTCAGTTCCAGGAGGCGCGTGAAAATGTCCACATAATGGATAATTTGTGGACTTAGTATTGATATTGATCACCTTAAAAATAGAAAGGGAGATTTGGGTTCAAGAATGTGCTTGCAAGGATTATTTTCCAAGTTTACTTTTAACACATTCCTAATACATATTCTGTGAAATTTTTATCTAGAAAAATGAAACAGTAATAGAAAAATACTTAGAATAACTACCAAACAGATTTTTATAACCGAAAATCGGATTTAATAAATATTGGAACGCTTGATCAACAATTTTTACGCATTAAGATTGTGAAATGATTAGGGAGTGGGATGCATATATATGGGTACTACACTGCTTGTGACAGTGTGTACCCTCTTATTTGTTGACGAACTTTCAGTATGTGAGTTTGAATCTCACGGACACTTCTGATCTCTTCACAGTTGGAACAAGTAGAAAATTCCAATTTCTTCTGAATTTTGATATTTTTATACTTGCCAATCGAATTCAGAGGTTATTCTTGCTTTTTCGATTTATCTATGATGGTTTATTAGTAGAATCAAAAAGTAGCTGACAAAACAGTGATGTGGATTAGTAGTTTTGCAATTCGATAGCGTTTTTAGGCTTAGTACGATTTAGTGGTTTAAAAATTGCCAGATGAAAAATGATAATTGGACTGCATTTTCTCCAAAGAAGCGTTTAGATTTCCGGGATAATAAGCAATCAAGATAATGGTACAATTTTTATTGAAATCAGAATGCGGAACTAGATTACCGGCATCTGGTTGTTATGATTTTCTAGTTACCACGTGCGAAATGCGTTCACCCCGACCGAATGAATTTTGACTTGACTGGGTCTCGCTGTTCCGCAAGTGACTGCTGTATTCTAGATGTTCACGAAGAACTTGCTCAAAGAATTGCTCACTACAGTGCAAGCTGGAGGTCTGATTAAGTATTCCATTGATTTTTGGAAACAATTTCCTCTATTAACCAGTTCGTCACGGATACATAGACTGGAGAAAATCATAGTAGGTGTTGACCATGAATGGACGTATTTTTATTATCTTACAAAACTTCAAGGGAATGTTTCGTGATCCCAGTCATTTGGGATAACCAACACATATATTCGTTATTGATATTTGTAGTCTCATCGTACTTTGTTAAAATCTGATGCAACTCTGTGCAGTGTTCACTGGGGCCTTAAGTCATGCCGTTCTCGCCAACTTTAACTCATCAATTCGTTCGATATGCATCTAAACAACGGGTTACCTACTGTTTACGAGCACGTATGACTTGGACAGCGACGTGAGTCCTACACCCCAGTGTTTCAAGTTATATTACTACTGATTTTGTTTTTCTTTCAGACCCTCTTCAAAATATCCACTCTCGTATAGTCAGGAGCTTCAAGTCCCTATTCATTGCGTTCTAAATTTTCATGATTTTATGCGCAATATTTGTGTATCAGCCTCCTCACACTGGCGAATGTGCATATCGGTAAGCAGGTAAATCGAAATACGAGTGAAACAGCTGTTCAGTGTCAGCCATGTCAACATTGTTTTGTTTTCTCAACTTTGTTGACAGAAAAACTGTCGAATACATGAACTCCTAACGGAGAGAAAAGCAACATAAAGACTTGATTGCGTAGGTTAATCTAAGAGTAGTATTAGAATACAAATCTCCATCGATCACCTTCTGCTCAAGCCAGTTTGGGAAAGCCTATTGGACACTGAGTGTATGGGTCTGATTAAACAAATATCTTTTTGCAAGGAAATTTCAACGGAGCACACAGCGTTATTCTTGTTTTGACATGTCCCCCTTAAATTGGATTAAACAAAGTTAGCACCAAAATGGGAATAATACAAACAAAGCAGCATAACAGCAGAACAATAATAATTGCATTTTCCAGATGAATAAAACTCGGGTTTATACGGATAAACAATGCAGATCAGCATAATGGAATAAAAAAAAGCATCAGTTATCTCGAAAACCGTTTGAATTTTCTCAGTTCAAGGTTCGACAGTGAGGATAATTATTCGATTTGCTACAAACAAGATAAGAATTTGTCTCACAGATCGGAAAGGGTATGATTGTATGAGTGACACGAGTACCGCATTTCTGTCCGTAATTTGTCCATAGATATATGCAGAATCACTGGGTTGATTAGGAACATGCACGAGATTGATGCAGGGTGAAGAACAGGCACAGAGGAAAACAAAACCGCTTATTCACTGGCGCCAGAGTCGAGAAGTGAATGTCTGAAACCAGGCCCGAGTGCCTGTTTGATCGGTTTCTTCATTGTCCGGATCGGAGAAGAGACAGAAATAGGCCACTGTGAGAGCAATCAGGGCCACAAAACACGAAAGAATGAACAATAAAATGGTTTTCCAATCGATAAGTTTTTCACGCGATTTCGCCACACTCAACTCGGACGAAGTGGGACTGGGTTTCGTCTGATCCGGGGCTGTGGACGAGACTAAATATATGGAAGGAGTGGGACATGTTACAGATTCTGTGATCAATTTTATGCATGAATGTGTTTGTGTATGAGAGAGAAAAATGGAAACATGTTAATTGATGGGGAGTATTGAAACACCATAAAAACACCCCATTGTTAGATCGTTCACATTATTAGCATTGAGTTAGTTTATCCATCTTTTTAGTGTGAGTGACCAAAATGCAAATTAAATGAGAGGTGTTTAGATCCTACAGCTGCATAACTGAGCTAATCCAAAGAGAATTAAGACAGTGAGTTACGTTTGATCAACCTCTGTTCTGTTTCCATTGAACTCAACCTGCATCATATTGCAGTGCTTTTAATACACCGGAACTCGTGATTATTATATTGGTTCCGGTTTTAGCTAACTGTAGTCATTCAAATAAGAAATGGAAGTTGGTTTTTCTACTCCTAATGACTGTGTTACTCCGGATGCAGCCAATTGATTATTACTAATTGAAATATAAGGTGGTTGATGCCAATTCTACACGATTGGTCCGAGGTTCAAACCCAGGGTGATCCGCTTCATATGACGGTCAGTTATTTGGAGAGTGCAATTCGAGTCTGTTGCTTCACGAGTAGAAAAAGCGAAGAGATAATTTGAGATTTGACTGTAATAGTCGAAATCGAGGAAACATTCATCAATATCAATAAAAAATATTTTAATTTGGGCATAAATTACACCAGTTAGACTTGAAAACAATGCACGTAGCGATGAATACCAAAGGGTTTGAATTGCCAGATGTCCTATCATTGTTACCAACTTTGAGTGATAAGAGAACCTATCGAACAGCGCGATATTCACCGACTGATAAAGCAATGCACCAACTCTAATTGATGTCACGACAAAGTTTCTCCCAAAAATTCCCCTCGGCTTTCAATTGACTGGAGGCGCATAGTTTACTGCAACAGAGAGCTAATAGGATCTTCCGTCTTCTAAGTTGTTCAAATACTATGACTGATGTTTTAGCACACGAGCTAGCGCTTCATAACAATAGGAGCTACAAAAAATTTCAAATGGTTAATTACCTCTGTAGATTTCCCAAAGTACATTCTTGTAGAACGAATGATGTTTAAAAGACTCCAAAAGGCTTTGGTGAATCAAATTGATCCGTCTTTGACAATGGAAATATTCATTTTTGTATTTCGTAAGTCACAGGCTTCACGGTTAAAACGCAGTTAACCTTTATACTTGTCATAGCTCACAAGTAAAAATAACGTGATGGCTTGTTAGTTGAAGTCAGGAGTTCGTTAAAAAAAGAGAAATCAAAGAATTTAGTAAAAAAGCGCAAATGAATCACCCTTTGATGTCAAGGTCAACTCACAGACAAACGATCGGACAATTCCGAATGGCTTGCCTCCTTATGCTGCATGCTATGGTCTAGGGGAAGAACGTTTGTGTGGCAATTAAAATGATACTTCGTCGAATTTCCAAACTTTGTGTTCGTCAATTGGGAGCAAATAACTAAGGGACCATTTTGACAAAAAACTTAGAAGCTAGGTGCATGAGAATTAAAGACAACTAAGGAAATAATGAGCCATTCTGAGAGAAATCTTTCGCAGTGCGATGAGGCGTGTCTCGGTCTATTTTAAACGGCATAAATAAAAGTGTGACGTAATCGAGTAGTATTAGCTGTAAGTTTTGCAATCTCACTGCATTTTTATCATTAACTTTTGGGAACCTGCCAACAATAGTTTGGATGAAAGCTGAGCCATATAATGAAACAATAGACGTTGTTGGTGACACTTCGACGAGAATACAGAAAGTCCGTAACCTCGAACTAAATGCAAAACAAACGGTACTTGGCAATTAATGGAAAGGCATCTGTTCAGGTGAGTGAACATCACGTGCAATTCACATATAAATCACTTGGCACCTAAAGATTCGATTAGTTTTTGGACTCAGCACAGGGTCCCTGCGCAATTCAGAGGGTTCAGTGAGCCACCTGCATCCGAAACCACAGATCAGTAAATGCACCACTCGAACAGCCCGTGGGTTTCTAAAACCCAGTTCATTTACTTTAAGAATCACTGTTACTCTCAAACGTGCCCGAGGACATCTTTCTCAAGATGGCCAAAGTATTCATTGAAAAATATGAAGTGCATACCAACTTTCGTGAATAATCACGAAGCGGATGTGTTTTTCTGTGTGCGGTGACCGCTTCATTAGAAAGTTCATTCCCGAAGGAAAAAATCACTGTTTAATCTAATCCGATGATTGTATGCTTAGTAAACAGAGCGAAAACAAGTTTGTTCTTTCAGAAGAGAAAACATGTTTACTAAAGATAGCAGAAATGGGGAAAAATCGATGTTATGAGTATACATTCTATCTTTTGTGGCTTTCTAATTTCTCATAGAATGGAACTACGATACATAAGCCAAACTGTATGCTGAATTTCAATTTCAGTTTTTACAATTAGTGTCCATGCATTTTTGTGCCGGTTTTGGCTGCCCAAAAGGAGGAAATAGGAGAATGAAGATTGAAATGTTGAGAGTAAATTTAGGGGAAGAAGATTGCTAAAGGCTGTAAGATTATGCATGCGCATGGATCACTCAGAGGGCTGTTTGCCGTGTTTATGAACTACAACACGTGCAGCGAAAAAGAAATAATCTGTTTTAGAATTAAGCCGTTATCAGGAAACCAATCTTTTCTTCATTTTAACCTTTTAATTAACTGAGTACTTCGTTGGCGAACGTTTCACCACTAGCGGCATGATGACTTCATTAATGCTTGGGATAAGTTGTGATTTAAACGAAGCCGAAAATTCCTTTCGTTTGCCATCTAATGCAAAAGGTGAGTGCGATATTCGGGATCCATGAAAGGCACCTTACAAAAAACCAACCGACCGCTTTGATCAATCACTAACTGTAAACAGATCTATTAAAACACCAAATTCCGATTACAAGTCTGTTTGGTAATAATGCGTAAAATGTGGAACATCACTGTTGGTTGTTTATTCTGGAGAGGGAAATTTTGATGTCTGACACTCCTTGTGTGCCAAAGCGTCTACCGGAACTAAACCAATTGGACGCAATGCGCATGCAGTGTGAGATCGTTCCGCTCAGTTCGGCTATTGTGATTATGTATATTTAAGTGAAAATTGAATCTTTATTTTGGATTTTGAATATTTCGAGAGATTAAAACAGGTTTATTTTTTTCATATACATATCTCATCTGCTGAAGATTGATCTGGTTTCATCAAGGAGAAGGTTGAATGGATTTCACATTGACTGAGAATAGATCTGCATATATAAGTACAGTAAAAATTTCTTCAAAGTAGTGACTTAGCAATCAGCAAGAGCCGTTTATAGTTCATTCAAAATCACGGACACCGGATTTTGCATATTGTTATTCTTGTGTGGATCTCACTCAACGGGAATTGGTTATTTCTCTGCTTGTCAAGGCCTTTTGAAAACAGGTGATGGAATGGCAAAGTGATTGTCAAAGAGTCATGGGAAGTCAGTTCGTCCTTGAAAGAACCCTGAAGCAATGCTCTGCTCGCCTCTCAAGGGGGACTTGAACCATGAAGCTTTGCACTAGGAGTTGAAACCCTTATCCCTGAGCCACATGATTCATGGTTCTCGTATATGCGGAACTAATCAGGTCCTAGGGGACTATACCAACCATATGATAGATCATAGTATCTAATAATAAGTATGAACAATATAAGACAGTTTTTTATTTAGTTGATCAGATATCGTGCACTTCAAATTGTAGTTCTTGAATAAAGAATTCAGTTTCCAAGTGACAACTCATATCGAAAAAACTGTGTGGTGTGGTTTGTCTAACCAACGGTTGTCCCTCTAACGTTATCGGAAGAAAGGATAGTTAATCGTTAATGCAAGAAATCAAAATGACAGTTTGAAAAGGGCGTGCAATTCAAAAGACCAAATAGACAGCTCACCAGGTAAAGCCTGTAATTCACTCGGTTTCGCATCCACCACATCAATGTGGTCTACCTTCATCGGAACCGACTGTACTAGCAGACTCTGTTGCCGAGGGCTTTTGATCCTTGCCCGGGTTGCAAACATAACTTCCAATCGATAGGTTTCTGTTGCATCAGGTCCAGTCCAAACACTTGTGTCCTTGTACACAACTAGACGAGGAGTAGGAGATGTGGTTTTTCGGTAGTGCGTTCCGGTAAATGCATAACACCTTACTCCTTCCGATTCCATGTAGCCCGTGGCCAGTGGTCCGGCCATTTGGGTGGTAGCATCTGCTACGGTTTCGTCATAAATTGGGCGCCAGGGGGATGGATAAATGTGTACTCGTGGTCTAGACTTCACGTTAGGAGATTCTGATAGGCTTCCAGTGAGGACAGTAGCTGAGTGAGATGAATAAGAGAGAATAAAATTTGATTGTACTCTGCTTTGGTATGTTTCGGAAATTTTGTACTATCAAGCTGTCTAGATCACCGAGTAGGGTGAGACAATCTTTCTGGAATAGGCTTCGAGAAGAGTGAAGTGGTATTTTTCGCTCAAACGAAAAGGGTTGATTTGAACAGAACGTTTCCTGGATCATTACACGATAATATTGCTCGATAAAATTTATAGTTCACAGTGAGATGAAAATTTTATGGCGGTCGTGTATATTGTGAAAAGTTTTACCCACCTTCGAAATGAGTAACGAATTCTCTTGCGAAAAAAGAAATTTAAAAAGACAGCCGATATTTTGTTTTTACTCATTGAACCAATCAAATTAAAGCATTTTGAGGCTACGAATATGATTGAGAGGATAGAGGGTCGTGAACTCGTTTAATAAACACAGTGGAAAAATGATGCAGAAATTGTTAACCATACACCACCACTAGGATCTAACCACAACGGATGCAACATGGTTTACATTTGTTAGATATCCTTATTGTCACAACAGTTATTTATTTGTGCATGTACGTAAATTTTTTATTATTCAAACTTCAGTCGATTACTATTTGGATGCGGGAATAGATGACCGGAAAGAAGATGTGAGGACTTTTGACCTAGTAATTGCCATATGTGTTGCACAAAATCATACTGCATGTGACTAAATTTGTAAATATTGCTATTTCAGGATGGATGATGTACTGAGTAGATTAAATGAGTGGGGTGGAATTATGTGAGGGTTCGAGAGGTATTGGACTTACGTTCAGCCAATCGAACACGACTGGAGCTCAGTGATCTGGGGAGTTTATAAGATCCGAAATCTTTACCGGAAACTCGACTGGGTGCGGCGGATCGGAAGTACAAAACTCGACCGGATGGAGTGATGCTACTGTGTAAGTTACGTCTTGATGTCAGTTCACACTCCTCAGATATGGTTCTACTGCGTGGTGGAATCCAGCTGGGTCCCACTTGTTCCGGTGTGGTAGATCGCGCACGAATTGGGACATGGGGACTGGAGCGTTGTGCGGCGTCTGTCTGATGTTCGAGCAACAGTGGCAAGCGTTTTGCAGCTGGCATAGACCTACTGGATATTTCCGTACACTCCGAGATGGTATGTTCACACGTGATCGTCTCGGTTGAGTAGGATACGTGTTTCTTCCTGAGCGAAGGACTACCACTCTGATTCGGTGATACGGTAACCACTCGCTCAACGTTAACTGGAGGTGATCGAGTTTGTACGCTCACAGGTTGGGAGATTAGTGTTGGTTTTGTGGACATTTCGTGTACGGGCTTGATCTGATCTGGAGCTTGATTTACGGTGGGTGCCAGGACTACGGGAATGTGATGAACAACAGACAATGGCTCTGTCTTTGATTGTACGAGCGAACTATCTTTTTGTATATCTTGGTGATTTGTGGTTGTAGACATGCTCATTTGAGGCGATGGTGTAGCGGTAACTGAAGATTTCTGAGCAATGATAGGGGAGACCAGCGATGCATCTAGGCTATCAAGTTCGCTGACATCATTCCTTTTCTCCTCATAGGAAAAAGATGAAAAATCAATGCATGATTTTTGAATCAACGGGCCTTCAGTATTAACAACACCCCAACAATGTTTACCAATGACAGGGGGACTTCTATTAGGTTCGGTTTCTCGCTTTTGTTCACTGTCCTCTCGTTCCGTAGTCGTATCGGAGCAAATGGGTTTGTTTGATGCCTCTGGTTCATGTGAAGCGATTTGCTTATCGGTTTCTCGCATGGACATTAGTGTTTCCTGTTTTTTAAACACTCCATCTGAATTAATATAAGGCAGAGGAAACTCCACACTATTTTGTTTATCTTTCTGCTTTGTGTAAAACATTTGCGAGAAAATAAAACTGGCCTTAGTTTTAGGTGGTAACGGCGGTGGAGGAGGTGATTTCAACCTGTCACCTTCCGATCTGGATACAAGAATGGGGGAGTTTTGTCGACATTCAACTCCTTCGTTCATTCTATCCGGAGGTACACCACAGGCCTGTTTACTGACCATGCGATCGCTGCAACCTAGTGACTTTTTCTTATCATACCTATTAGTGGTAACCGAACTTTGCAACTCTGTTTCGACTCTTTGTGACCAATTTTTCAATTTTGTGGCGCCCTCTTGATCGGGTTTGTAGAATCGATCATTCAAATGTTCCTTCTGATTAGAGAGCACAACATTTTGGCTGGATTCAGACAGGGATGCATCGTATTTAGTTACTGATGTAGTCATTTTTTGAGAGTGGTCGTAAGATAAGTTATCGTCGATGACCTTATCGACTTCACGTGCGGGCTTCAGAGTGGATTTTTCACTCAAGCTGGTATCCTCCAGAGGGTCGGTTTCATCTTTGATAGTTTTTCTCTCAATCAAACTTTTAGGTTCGGAGAAGGAACCGGGATTATCTATTTCGTGTGAACCTGTGTCTTCTTCGTCTTTTGTGACACTGGTTCCCTCAAAAGACAACTCGTCCACATCTGGTTTGGGCGGCTTCTTAGGCAAATCAGAGCGAAGCACACTGGGATCGGCATGTGGTTCCACAGTTGTTGTCATTTCAACATTTGTCGAAAGATTCTCACTGACTGAGTTTGTTTCCGTATGCTCTGATTTAGATACTACTTTGCTATGTGATTCTTCCAATTTAGAAGCATGTGAATTCTCCACTTTTTGCGCTGCACTCGCATTGCGCATTACATCCACAAGATAGATTGGCTGGGTTCCATCCAGAACATTAATTACTCTAGTGTCCACTATCAGTTCTTCCGTCTGCTGCGCTTCGAATTCCGGATCTAAACTGCGATAGCCAGAACTGCTGGAATGTTGTGAACGGGATCGGCTACGGCTTGTCACAGTCTGATCGCCGTGTTCTTGTTGGTGTCGTCGCCGCCGTCTGCGTCGACTAGATGAGCAACGACTGTCCACACTTTTTGACCGTCCGAGGTCAGACGTGTTCGTTGCTGGAGTTTCCATCTGACCACTCACATGTGTGCACATACCTAGGACGGTTTTGGTCTCTATGGTCTCACTCAACTGACAGCTGGATTGTGCATTGCCCCCGGCCCAGTTCCAATAGGGACGCGTTGGACCGGTTCTCGCATGAGATGGAACCCAAAATTCTGAAACAATAAATGAGACAAGGGTAACAGATTGAGTAAAATCTACATGTGGTTAGACAAGTTTTGATAGAACTACACTGCATCAGATCGAAAAGGTACACAATGTAGAAATATGCTGAAAAACAAAATTTTGCTGTTATAAAAAACGTCTGAGTTTGAAATCAGCAGAAGATCAAATGTTTTTAGTTTATTTATGATCACTTGATTGGAAATTAAAAATCTAGATAAACGCCATGGTAATTGGTGCCCAGAGAGTGCAGTAACCAGACCCCTGGACCATAGAGTGCTAAACCTTTATAGACTCCTATAAAGACAGGAAGGACGACAACGTTATTGTTTTCAATCGAATGCTACCACATTTTGAAGGGTACCATCACTATAAAGAACTGTACTGCAACAGATCGTAAGGCAACTTTCTTGCATCTGAGATAGAAAATTTGTATCTGTGTGTAACTGCAGTTGTGAGAACTAGCTAAAAGTACTGAGTTTAGCCCTAAGGGAATAGAAAATCATCATGAAATATGAAAAACATCACAAAATTTGAGAGATATGTTTTCGAGTTGAGCAGAAAAAGCTAGATTGTTAAAGATCTGTGATCAGTTGTGCCTAAATTTAGGAAGGGTTCTCATACAAACGAATTACTTTGCATGATCTTAAATAAGTCCTTCATGTCGACGCTTATGGTATCTCTGGTAGAAACTGTGTACCGATCACTGACGGAATCGGCGAAAGACCGACAATAGGTTACCATTTGATATTTCAAATCTATTTTCATCTCCACACAACTGTTTGAGCACAACAGGCTGACCAAGGACGATGTGCCTAAGTGCTGAAAATCGCTGTTAGATTGTGCTCGTCAATGCAGGTGCAATAGACTCCGGTGAATGGGTTGAAAAACAGTCACTATACTATCTGGCAAAAAACACGTACGTGAGTGTTGAATTTCCCTCCCTCCAAAATAAGATGCACGAAGCATATGACTGTGTCATTAGCATAATTTCGAGATAAATTAAATGGTGGCAATGATCATTCGAGTAAGGATGCCAACTTATCGCCCCGCAGATCTGTGTTCGAACCTTCGAACCGGGGCCGTCCAACTTTGTTCTCGTCTCTGATTGGCCCGTTTCTATTCCTAAAAAATATTTTTACAATTATCCATTCAACAAAAAGCGGGTAATTAAAAAAATAAAATAAATAGTTAGCATTACTCAAAACCAGGACCATGAAAGCACTAAATCCGGGAAAATAGTCTGAAAAACGATCTGAAAAATCGAGTATAGCGTGTAGCAAATACAAGATGCAAAAGGCCTCTGAAAATTGAGGATGTTTGAAAGAACGGAGTCGATCGTGATCTATATGATTGTGAAGTCCTTAGATGGAATGAAATGAATCTGGTGATTGCAATACTCTTTTGAAAAAAGCTAATGAATTATCGAGACATGGAGAAGTTTATACTTTTCAGAGAACCGGACTAAATGAACACTCAGTCGCCAAGTTGTGATTGCCTGCAATTCTGTCTGCAACTCATGCACTGAAAGTAATTCGAAAATCATTTTGCTACTTGAAAATCTGTTTGATTCCATGAACTAAAGTGAGAAACTTTTCACGCTTTATAATTACTATTTACACAAAACTTACTGATAAGAGATCAGAGCTGAACTCCCGACTCAGCACAAACGGTAAATAGGCTAGCAAGATACACACCAGACCAACCAAGGTATCCGAAGAAAACCGAAACATATTCATGTTTAATCAATATAGGCATATTTTTAAAAGTGAGAAAATGGTATCCACAGAGTGCCCATAAAACATGCAGCACTAAATTCTCGGCCTATGAAGAACTTGCTGAAGATTCAGGGTGTTTCAGTAGCTTAGATTAAAATGAAATAAAGTCACATTAAGTTATTGTTGTAACTTAATCATGACATTTGGAACAGCTCATGATTAACTTAGAATATAACATTGGTTTTTAAGTAGCGATTAGTGATGTTTTCTCTCACTAGTAATATGGTCAATATTCCGCTAATATGCTTCATTTAGCCATCATTTTCAATTCTGAATTATCATCCGTATTCGATTTAGTTTTGTCGGGATGAACACATACACATTCTTGACACTGAAGAACAACGAACTGGTACGCCCTGACCTCGGTTCAACTTCGCGTGGGCCTAGCAGCTAAACAATGACAACTACATTGATGTAAACTTTGAAGCCCGTTACTTTCGAATTTATTCTACGCAATGGACAAAAATCGTAAAAAATGGATCGAACATGCTGGGTTTCATAAACTCCGATGATTTGACCCTAACAGAAAAAATATGCGTAGGTCTGAGAGACTCTTCGTTGTTATTGACCCACTAGACCTGAAACGATGAGTCTCTTCGCTCAGTTTGTTGAGCACATCCGACGCTGATAAAATGCAGATCAACAAAGACCACAACCTACATGGTCACTTCAACCTCATCTACCCGATTAGAATTCGAGATGGATGATAGAAGAACCAAAAATGGCGGTAAAATTGGTCATACGCTGGTCTGTTCCAGTAAAACCTAATTTTGCACAAATGTGCAATGGCGAATGTTGTATTCGGATGCTGATAACACGGACCAGGGCGACGTGCCTAGATTGAATGTGTTCGTTGTACCACCCGGCCTCGACTGATGGTACGCTGAACAGATGGCTTGCGCTTTGTATGCATTAGCCTTGTTTATTCAAAGGTTTTGCATAAAACCACTGAGTGTTCGTTATTTGGGGTGAACATGGGCCATGAGTATCGCCAGAGGAACTTGATACGTTCATCAAACTAGCTCTTCCTCGTATAATTTACGGAAAAACCATCCAGTTAACTTCATCTTAAATCAGCCTTATTCACAGCACAATTACGCGTGTTTGATTCGTCCAGATAAAATAGATTTATCGCTTTTACGCCCAAGCCAACCGATGCGGAACGGCTTCCAACGTTGATAAATGTAAAGGAACTCAAGGGAATGGGAGATTACAAAACTGTGCACAAGACGTTTAGTTTGGTCTATGATAGTTTTCATGATAGTGCCAACGTATAGATCAACAGCAGGTTGCCGACTTACTCCAAATATTACACGTATTGGTTTCTATACTGGATTCATTCAAGAAACCGCCTTAGAGAGAAACCATGCTGTTGAGAACGAGTAAAACGTCTGTTATATTGAGTGTAAACAGTATACAATAACTTCTTATAAGTAGTTCCATATATCCTTAGTTATTTATGCGATCTGTTATGTCAGTCTATCTATAGGTGTATCATAGTGTTTGCTGAAGCTCACTGACGTGGCAGGTTTATCCAAAATGCTGGATACACAGGAAGACTGCGGGTCAGTTCGCTGTTCGGAGAGAGTGATTTTTCACTGTTCTAGTAGTAAATGTACAGTAAAAATACAGTCTGACTTCGCTATTGTCACCACCTGTCATTTTTGATAATTGGCGACACAACCTGAGGTGGAACCTTAACGGACTTGATCGTCAAGTTTAAGATTTTTATGAGGTTTAGTATTTCACCAGTTTTCTTTGTTTGGTGATGTTGCAAAATGATCTGCAAGATCTATGTAATGACGGAAACCAAATTTCATACACTTTCATTTTCCAAAAATGTGGCTTCCGTGCTCCTTGTGCTAGCGCAAATATTGTAAAGATGTTTATAACTCTGCAACCAACTTTTGCAGTCAGTTTGTAATAGTTCTACTAATCAGTGCATTCCCGTTTCCTGAATAATCAGACGAGATATAAGATTGATTGTCAGCGTCACCGTCATATCATACAACCAATCAATGAAATTACATGGTTGCCAGACCAACGCCCTTGAATAGCCTTTCTCTGTGACCGCGACCTCGTGCTTCTTGCCCATACTGCGACTGCCCCATTTCCTGCCACCTTTGAGACTCTATACAAGGAGCGAATGACTTATACCATTCCAGATTCCATTTAGGTAGAGTAAGTTTCGGCGCGGTAGTTTGCGTCTTATTTTGCTGAGGATCAAGCATATTACAAGGATTGAAGAAATGCGTTACAGTGCGCATTATTGATATACAGATAGAGCACCCTTGAAAGTGTTCTTCAATTCAACTACAATTGTAATCTGGCAGGTTAAAATGCAGGCGGTTCACAAAAGTTGACATCGTTGTAAGTGAGTTATGAAATAACCTTGTTCCAATTGTTTTTTACTTTTGTTTGGGTGTAAGAAATCGAGACGATGGGGGGGGGGCTGTGCAGGAAACCCAAGGGGACATGGATATTTTTCGAAAGAGAAAGTACCAACTGAGCGCGCAACCGTGGATTTGCATTCACCAGTACCGAAAACAGGATTGATGAAAAAACTGTTAATTTTTTGAAGAGCGATACCGAAATCTTTCTATTTTCCTCCCTTCATGTGAACGACATGAAAAAAACATCAGAATATCAGGATGATTAAAATGTTTTGAAAACATATGTTCACAGACAAAATAGTTCTGCTTGTCCTGATTTATTACTATCATACTGAACAAAAGGATAATTTCCTCTTTGATGTCTGCCGGGCATAGGGCTCACTCGAATAGGGCTTTGGCTTGATCAAAAGCAACAACAACAAAGACTTAATTGATTTCGTTTTATCTGATCCAGTCTTTGCGAAAAAGTTTCACGAAAGCTAAAAGCGTACTCATTTGGATTCATTTGAGAGTCCACTCATTTATGGANTGTGTTATCCCAATGATGTTTGTAAGTCTGAAAAAAACACTAACCCCAGGGTTCTCATCAAAACGAAAATTACGCGGCACCAGCGTTTACCCTTTCTTAGGAGACGGATGTTAGTAAAATTTACGCACCTCAGAAACCAAGCGGTAAAGGCATGTAAACAGACTGTCTTCGCAAGTAACCACTGGAGCAGGAAGACTGAAGTTACTAGTGAAAAACCAAGTGATTTATCATTTATCTAATTCCAGTTGAAGATCAAATGTTACTGTAACTACTATACACCTTTGGGATTTCGT